AGCCCCATGAGGGGCCCGGCGGTGGACCTGCAAGGCCGGCGGGAGTGCAAGGAAGCCCCGCGAAGGCCCTCCCTGGCCCCAGGCAGGCAGGGGTGGGGAGAGGCAGGGAGGAAGCAACTTACCCTCCCTCGTCTCCTGCCTCCTCCTGGCTGAATGAGGGCCGGAAGCGGGGCGGCCGGAAGTGGGGGGCGGGGCTTCGTCATGTGCCCTGCCCCCCGTACCTCACCCGGGGGAACTGCGATCCCGCCTGAAATGACCTCTGGGATTTATATCCTGCCCTTCAGTACCCAAAGGAGTCTCAGAGCAGCTTACCATCTCCTTTCCCTTCTCCTCCCCACAACAGATACCCTGAGCAACAGATCACTTTCAAGAACTGCTCATGAGAGAACAGCTCTGAAACAATTTGTAACTGACCCAAGGAGGAGTAGGGAATCAAACCCGGTTCTCCCAGATAAGAGTCCGCGCTCCTAACCACTACACCTAACATGGATGAGCTAATGGGGAGGAGGGCTACTGGAAGATTTAAGAGACACATTTCATCCCAGTGTTTTTAGGGGTACCTACAAGCATTAGTTTTTTGTTGAGTACTGACCATGGTAGGGTGAAAAGTATAAAAATGGACGGACATTCTAAGTGTAATGAAAGTGAACACACATTCACGGCATTCCAAGATGGCAAATGTGTGTTCAACAGACATTCACCACACTTAGACTTGATGCTTGCCTTCACCCAAACATTTTGTTTGCCCTTGCAACATAATTAGCAAATTCTACCCATCCTCATAATTCTAAAAAAGTGTACTCGGGGACAAACTCCAAACATGCTGTAGGATTCCTTCTGTACTATGATGTGATTTCTGTTGCACAACCAGGACAATATAGAGGATGGCATTATCAGTTCCAACCCTTCCCCCTACCCATTCCTGATTCAACACCAACCAACCAAACAAACATGTAAGAGTGCTGAGCAAGGAACTGGGATCTTTTGGGAGCTATAGATGTACGTGCCAATGGGGCTGCCATGCTGAGCTCATGATGAGTACCAACAACCAAATCTTCTTCCCCATCCAAGTGAAGACCAGAAGAGCAAAGAATGGTAGCCAAGAAAGCTACTGTTGGGATGCATTTCTGGTGAACTGGAGCCTCACTGGGCTAATGTCAAAATTTGTTATGTGATAAGTTATACTTGATCTTAATAAACATTTTAAAAACCAAAAAAAAAAAATTGTTGTGAAACAATTATATGAATAGTTTGATTTATCTAGTCTGCCTTACGAATTGATAATACTATGATGTAATTATTTTTCTGGACTCTTTATTATCACCTCACAGTTATAAGTAGTGTTTTATTACAGTGTACCTTGCAACTATATATAGTTGGACATACTGATCTTAACTTCATATATTGTACTACTTTTATTATTGCTCAAAGTGTTTCTGTTTATACTTTGTAATCTCAAAAAAAATTATATAAAAATTGTTGTGAAGATATACTGGAAATAAATGGCTTTAGACATCTGTAGTAATCTGTATTTATTTCACAAAAAAGGAAAACAAAATAATAAAGATAATTTCATGCAAGATTTTTTAGCTCATAGAACTAATTGTTTCCCCTTCTCAAGAGCACCTCCTGTTAAAGCATATATATGAGAAATAAAATCAAAGGGCCAAGAGTTAGCGAAAAAATAATTCCTGATCAATGTTTAAATTATGGCTTCTGTGACTATCTACATAGTTTGGATAAACTGGTAAATCCACAGCTACTTTCTAGTTTATGTCTGTCACATGTCGGAGAAATGGCTTACAGTATTTCCAGACTTTATGCTTTGTAGAGAATGAAGAAATATGTCTTAATCTACCACATTTTTGCAACTAAACTGGTGTTAAAATATGGAACAAAAACCACCAGGTCAGCATTTCTTTAAGGTTCATAAACAGAGTGATATAAATATAAAACCTTGATACAAACAGATTTTCCCCCCATATATAAAATATCATCTTCAAGGCACTAATGTGACGGCAGAATGAAACTGATGTGACATCCTTCGCTGTCTCAGATTTTCCACACTTGTGATGGGCGTTTTCCTACGGAAATCTTATTGCCTCAGCTGTTCAATCCTGGGCTTGGCATACACAGATGATTCACCATCCATGTATTTCCATCAGCTGTCCCAGAAGTCCTTTGGCTATCAATGTGTTACACCAGCTCTCCTTGCTCCAGTCCATAATGGCATTCTAAAAATTTGCTTTGGCCACTGAATTCATGGCCATAGTGCATAGATCTCATGAAGTCTTGGCTCTCTCTTCAAGTCTTCCTGCTTGTCCCTATGCCAGCAACCCCAGCCGGGTCACTTTGGCAGAGAGGAATGAGTGGATGATGAAGACAATGGTTTTGGGGCAGGAATGAAGATCTAATTGCTGCAATGAAAGAAAACACTGATAGATCAAGAGTGGCATGTTCAGAGCACTTCACCTGCCTGCATCTCCTAGAAATCAGTCTCTAGCTATAGGTGTTCATGTAAAAAATAGCAACTATAGAAAGCGGAAGTGGCTGACAATTAACTATCCATTATACAGTCCCAAAGAGCGGCAGACAACATACTGATATAAGCTGCTCTCCAATATGTGAGAAGTTCAGGGATCCTAGAAAACAACTTTGAAAACAACCATGAAGGCTGCAGCCCTGGGTAAAAATCAGGGCTGTAGCCAGCATTTAAATAAGTCGGGGGGGGGGGGCACTGTGTCAGGAGCGACAAGAGAGTAAAAGTTTTTCAAAGTGTGTGCGAGAGAGAGGGCTGGAGTAGGGAGCAGACGTGCCCTGTGGTGTGCCTCGCCCTCAGCCAGCCAGAGGGACACTGCCAGCAGGCAGGGCAGGGCAATGGGTTGCTGTGGCTGCGGCATGCGAGAAAAATGAAATAAACCAGCTGGATGGGAAGTCGGGAGGCCTGGGTGGTAAAGTCAGGGGGCCTGGCCCCAAGATGCCCCACTGTAGCTATGGGCCTGGTAAAAATAGAAATAATATGCCGTAGAGTGATTTGCACTAAGGAGCTAGACCAAGGGCATCAAACCATGAGTGAGTCTAGAATGACATTCTCCTCTCCAATGTTTTGAACTTAAGAAACAATCTTCATTTTAACTCTCTACTTGGAATACCTTCTGCAGTATCTACATGCAATCAATCTAATTTATTGCGGCAGGAACCAGTAAAAGTATCTACATGCACAACTTCACTCTGCATAATTTTTCCTGCTTTTACAATTCTGTTGTTCCTCTTTGATGGGCAGAGAGGAAGACAAAGAGAAAAGGCTGGAGATCTGAAGTGAGGGCAAAGAGGCAGGGGACAAGGCCCCATCAAGCAGGCCAGGGACTCAGTCCCTGTACACAGTCACTGAAAAACATTTCCCCAGATCCCTTCTGGTTTCTGAGCCTTTGCCTTATAAGCCCTATTTCACCCCACTACCCGGAAGAAGCAGCTATTTACCAGGTACTAACATCATACTTCTTTAAGTCACACACGACGTATACACAAAAAACACACGCACACACAGCAAAGCACATGCTGTCATAGCTACCTTTGAGTGACTTAAAAAAACATGGGTTTGTACAGAAGGTTTGAATCTTTGCCAGCTGGAATTCAAAATGATGGGCTACCAATCTTGTCAGGACCTTTGATATTGCAACATGTCCCTAGAAGTTCCTTTCAACAAAGCTCTTTTCTCTCTGCTGATATTTGGAACCTATGTACAGCCCTTTAGGGCATTTTGGATCAGTGCCTTATCTGAAACTAAGATGCTCCCCAGAAGCCATCAACCGCGGCCTCCTTCCGCAATTCAGAGATCTTCTCCTGCAACAGGACAGGTCTGACCCTGTCACAGAGAACACGGTGGCTTCATCCCAGCCTTTTCACTTCCTAAGGGTCATGTCTCAGGGACCTCCTAGTTAAGCCCAGAGCCCATCTAATATCCTGCCCCTTTCATCCCAGAATTCTAAGTGCTTGCTTTCCTCAGTCTCACTCCTTCCTCATGACCTGATGTGTCAACCATGCAAATGATGACAGAATGCAGTCCTGCAGCAAGCGTTTCCAACCACCCCTTTCAGCACTGATCTCCCTTCTCTGGAGGGGTGCACAGAGTCTGGTTCCTACTGAAAACCTCACCATCACTTCCCTAGGAACCTAGTGAAAAAGCAGGGGAGACAAGAATCACAGGTGGGGGGAAGTCAAAGGGGAACCCACAATCTCTCCTTCTGAGCTGCCGAAGTCCAAGTAAAGCATCTTGGCCCCATCATCAGAGGACATCTGCAGCCTTTCAAAAGGCTGCTGCAGAAGGACAACTTTGGTGAGGCCAGGCTCCAGGGTGGAGATGGTGAAGCCCTTATCGATGTGGATGGACAGTGTGCAGTCTCTCCCATTCCACGTGCATGCTGGAGAGAAAAACAGAATGTCAGGAGAAGAGGGTTATTATCTGCACTGAAACTTCCCTTCTAGAGAGGAGGCTACTGTTCAGCTGCAGAAACTGGTTGGGCTGGAAAGGGATGACAAACAGCAGGGCACTGGTCTTCAGACCTGACATCTCCAAGACACCAACAAACTCCTGCATGTCTACTACTGTATACTGAAGAAGTCCTGAGGATCTCACATCATCTGGCATGAGCTGATTCCCAGAATACACCCATTTTGCTGAGTTATGAAGGTCACTGGGTGACTCTGGACACACTGCAGGTGGACGTAGGAGAGGGTGGTTCTGCTTAGGATCGCACTGCAAGACTGGGAGGACCATAAGATTCCCGAGAAAATTAAGCAGTGAATGGATGTGATCAAATGGCCTCCTGGTTCTAGTTGCTCTTCACCTGGCGCCAGAGATTCAAAGAATTACTTTTCTTTACTGTTCATTAGCACTTCTCTGAGTCAACCTCAAACGTGTTTCTTCTGGTGGGAACAAATTTAGACATATTCCTCCTTATGTTCCCAATGGGCTTGTCAAGACAGCACTCCAGTGCTAAGCTTCTCATGAAAGTTACTTGAAGGAATCTCAGGATGGGCTTGAGAGTATCCTTAGATACATTAAACTGCAGCCTTTCTAGGTCCCCCAAGTGTATCGTTCTTTTGCCAGCTTCCCTTTGAACAAAAGGTCTTGCTTCTTAACAAGCGCTCTCTTTTTTGGTGAAGGTTTGCTGATATTGGCGCATAGCCCAAAGATCAGCACTGAAAGAATACCCAGGCTGCCTCTTTGCCTGGCAGACTGAGAAGGAACTGATATCTAACTCCAGGAACCAACTTGCATTTGTTACAGACCGCACAATCGCTTGCCTTATTTTTATTTTAATAATCAGTCAATAAGGGGACACAGTGGTGCAGATACAAGGAAAACAAAATACACTGTGAAAAGGCAATTTCTGACATTTTTATATATGTGTGTGTTCTTAATGCAAGCTTATTTGTCTGATAATTATTTTAAAGTTAAATACAATATCAATAGAAGAAAACTTTATAAAGTGAAACTTTGAACATATGTGTGCAACATGTCTTCTGAAATAAATCTTAAGCATATATGTGTCCCATGTCAAAGGACAACAAACAAGCCACAACAAAATGCAAAACAGAACACAAGTCAAACAAGGTTGCTTAACATAATACGAAACAACTCAAAGAAAAGTTCAGGCGCCGAAATGACGTGTTTTGTGTGGTTTTGGCACATCAGAGTCCAGGATAAGCATTTTCATATGGAGCTTGAAACTTCATGAAAACTCCGACCAATTTCCATACGTGAGGAGCAAGCTGCTTCAAACTCAGAAGGGTTGCTTATCCTTGACTTTGATGAATATTGGAAACTTGACCTTACCTGGGAGACACATTAGTTTGCTGGAAAGTCATATCATCCCCAGAAAGATATTGATATACCAGCTGTTATAATCACTGCTTGTCAAAAGCACAGAAAACACAAGTCATTTCGGTGCCTGAATTTTTCTTTGAGTTGTTTTGTATGATGTTAAGCAACCTTGTTTGACTTGTATTCTGTTTTGCATTTTGTTGTAGCTTGTCTTTTGTCCTTTGACATGGGACACATATATATGTTTAAGATTTATTACAGAAGACATGTTGTATGCATATGTTCAAAGTTTCACTTTATTTTTATTTTCGGCAAGTTGGAAGTTAGAAACAACCTTTTATTTTTACTAGACTGTAAATCTATTGTCTCCTGTGTATGTAAACCTGTCTGTAACTATGTTGATTGGCAGAGAGAGAGGGGGAGAGAGAGAGAGAGATAGAGAGAGAGAGAGAGAGAGAGAGAGAACGAGAGAACGAGAGAACGAGAGAACGAGAGAATGAGAACGAACTGAGAATAGCATGGGTAGAGACTGGCAAACCAAGACTAATACCACCTGGTAATTGAGGCAGAGATCTCTAATCCCTACTATTGCCAACAGATGTGGTCAGATCTCGGTTTATAGTGTACTTCTCAGTGAACTTAGTACTCACAGCAAATCTAGAACCACTACCCAATTGAGGCAGAGATCTCTAATCCCTACTACTGCCAACAGATGTGGTCAGATCTTGGTTTATAGTGTACTTCTCAGTGAACTCTTAGTACTCAAAGCAAATCTAGAACCACTACCTCCATTGTAAATCAGTTTCTGAGTCATGCTTGGAACTCCTGGGCTGACATGTAGTACCTTCCAAAGGCTCTAGGTCAATGCAGTTCTAGGTCATTGTAAAACTGGGGACTGGGAAAGCCCCTGAGCAGAAAGCCCCTAATGTTTATGTCATCTGCCAAATGCCATCTGCTTCCTGACCTGTTGACACTTCCTGGATACACTCAGCTGCATTGTGGCATCCATCCACTAGTATCCTTGTCCATGTGGCCAAGTCCCGGTGCGTCTCCACACTGAAAAGGTGCGTCTCCACGCCTTTTTTGGTTCCGGTCCGTAATGCAAATGAGAGCTCAGTATCATAGAGATGAGAGCCCTTGGATGGGCCAGAGTGCACCAGCCTGTATAGGATGGGAAAGGAAAGTACTTTTAATGTGAATCCCACAAACAAATAACCACCCTGGAGATCCATTTCAGGATGGAAGGGTGGTGTGTGAATACTCAGAAATACATATGGTGTAGCTTAGTGGCTAAAAGGATGGGTGTGATCTGGGATGTTCAGAGTTCAAATCTGCCTTTTCTACAAACACTCTATATGGTCTTGGGCAAGCCACTCTGGTACTACCTGCTATGTGGAAATAAAACTAGCCTACCTTACAGGCCTGTTGTAGGAACTGCACCTAAAGAATATGTGTGAAACACTTTGAACACTGAAAGTGCTCTATGATGCCAAGCAACATACTTCACTTTCTCTGATTTATCAGTCATCTGATTTTAGCATATTCTGTATATAATCAGAGCCATTATTTACATGGCCACGTTTAGAACAATTCAGTGTGCATTTGGAGACCAACAGTGAGTTTGAGAAGCATTCCATGAACATGGTGGCATAGCTTCCAGATTCAGTTCAAGACAAGACTCCTTTGCTTTTAAGAGAGACTTCAGCAGGTATGACTTCTCCTGGCATAACACTTAAGTGGTAAGAGAAACTCTTGAAGGCAGTGGACACGTATTGACAAGCCAGATCCGGAGTACCTTCATGCTGTCTCATGAACCAGTTTCGTGTAGTGGTTAAGAGAGACAGACTCTAATCTAGAGAACTGGGTTTGATTCCCCACCCCTCCACATGCAGCCAGTTGGGTGCCCTTGGGTCAGTCACAGTTCTCTCAGAGCTGTTCTGTCAAGAGCCATTCTCTCAGAGCCAATGCTCCCTCTAAGCCTTGGAGTCTTGTGAGCAAAAATTCTACTTTCTAAGCTACTGCCATTAAAGTTGTGAGTGAGCGATTTGGCTGCATAAATTAGTTTGCTCTTGAGCCATCCTTCCTGAGCTAAGGCAAAAATGTGTGAGCTGGAGGCTAAAAAACTATGAGCTAGCTCACACTAACGCTGCTTAGAGGGAACACTGTGAGCTCTCTTAGCCCCACCCACCCCACAGGGTGTCTGTTGTGGGGAGAGGACAGGAAGGAGAGTAAAGGGCAGGGTATAAATCCATCTCTTCTTCTTCATGCCTGCCCTTTCTAGGCTGCAACATTCCCTTGTGAGCAGCTGAAACCCATGGCTTTCAGGTAAGGCCCAGAGTTGTCTGTCTTATGGGACAGTCTGTGAGTTGAGTGGCCAGAGCACACACTGCCCCTGGGGTGAAGCTGAAACATGGCGCCACTGTGATTCCTGAAATCACATAGTTTTTGTCACAGCAAATGTGCTATTGTAAACCCTCTGGCTTCGGCTACACCTTGTTGTTGTTGTTGTTCAGTCGCACAGCCGAGTCCGACTCTTCACGACCCCATGGACCAGATCCCGCCAGGCCTTCCTGTCTTCCGCCGTCCTCTGAAGTTGGCTACACCTTAGCATCCTGTCAATGTTTAACCAGCCCACAAATCTGGGCTAGCTTAACCATCTCCTTTGCAAATCTCACTTATTTAGGAGTATGCCTAGGAAGTTTTTAAGTGTAAAGTGTAAGTGCAACAAATATATGTTTGACAACGCATCCACTGTAGCTGAAGCCTCAATTTTATTTTGGTTTCTTCAGGTGGGTAGCCATGTTGGTCTGAAGCAACAGAACAAACTGTTATTTTGGTTTCTATTATTGTCACTGGACCAGTTATGTGCATAAATGGCCACCAGAGGTCACTGTGGTACTGTTCATAACTTCAACAACGCCACTCTGGGCATAGCAGAGCAACTTGTGAGCCTCTCCACCATAATAACTGACCGTCCACAGTCTTCCTTCTTCTGAAATGCTGTGATGCACATAATTATGCACAAAGGAACAAGTTGCAACCAAACAGCAAAAAAAAAAAAAAAAAGTGGACTAGGGCACTGAAATTTTATATACCTTTATAACAGTCCTGTGAAAAGTCCTAATATGTGTGTGGGAAAGAGAACTGAAATCACATTTCCAGTGCCCATTTTTTACCTCTATGGGTTCACCTGTGGTCTGTACAGAGCTGCTACACTTACAAGGTGTGCATGTATTGGCTTTCTCTACATCAGACTGTCACATCAGTCAACGAAAAGGACAAACATTGTCAATTTTACTATTTATTATGTGACCTCTGTCAAATGTTGCCAAGTGTTTTGTGACGCTAGGAATTCTACTGTGTAGATGGCAGATTCCCATTCTTACTTCATTTTCATGTCTATGGTTAGTAAAAGCAGGGTTGAAGGGCTGCTTGGCCACTAACCATGCAGCACTCAAGAGCAGATCTAGCAGCACAGCAAAGCTGCCCTTACTGGTCACCTGGTATCACTGCACCCCTTACTGCCTACTTAATACAACTACTTTTCCAATCTTACTTTTGTATTTGCTTTCCAGTGAACTGATTTAGGTTTTTTAAAATACAATTTTAGGCTGGCCCTGGTACTCCAAGAACACAGCCATGGTGACAGAGGGGAACCTCCACATTCAGAAGCACGAAGCTTCTGAATCCCAGAGCCAGGAGGCAATGTCAGGGGAAGGCCTTGGCCTCTATACCCTGTTGTTGGCCCTCCAGAAGAACTGGTTGGCCACCGTGTGAAACAGGATACTGGACTAGATGGACCCTCACTGGTCTGATCCAGCAGGGCTCTTCTTATGTTCTGATGAGACAGATTGTTCAACAAAACATTCACATTTATGCAAAGTTTGTATAATACTGTTATAAAATTTGTTTTTTTTAAACAAGTGAATTTCATTGCCTTACAACAGTTGACAAATCTAGTTTTGTAACTGGCATCTGTACCATACCAGGTGATGACTGAAATGTGTTTTATGTTGTTCTAATAATGCTGCTGCTTTAGGAACCCATAAGCAATAACTGACCGAAACTTTTTTGGCCAGTCAATCAGCCAACCCAATCTCTGTCACACTGGAAACCTGGCAAAAGGCAACACTCCCCGTTCTGCAGACTCTTCTAGGCACAGAGACTCTCTTCAGAGAGACCTCTTCAGAGAGACAAAGTGAGACCTGATTTTCCCCCTTCCATGAGTTTACGGAACATTTTGCTATAATCTTTATGTGATGCTAACAATAACTGGTGGGGGTAGGGTGGTGCTGCTTTTTTTTTTTTTAATTCAGCATCACAATAGATTTCAGACCAGATTTAGAAATGTGGATTAATGAGTTTGGAAGGATCATACCCATTTCTAACAGCAATTATTCCTGTGAAACGGGGTGCTCTCTAACCACAGAGCAAAGTTGCAGGCCTTAGCAATAGATCAGTAATAGATTAGGACGGCAGGTGTGATGTGTCATTTTAACTTAAGGAAACTCTTCCTACTTCTGGTGCCTGTTCTTAAGCCTCTGGAGCCTGTTTCCAGACCTTTGTCAGAAGAGGGCAGCAGAACTTTACAAAAACTTCATCTCAGAGCAAACCCAAGTTCCAGTTCCTTCTGATTTTCTTTTAAGGAAACGAGCTGCTGCTGCCAGTTAACTTTGCTAGATATAAAACTGATTCCCCCTACAGACGCTGATGGCTGGATGGACCCAGGGTCTCAAGTGCAGCTGCCTCTCCCCAAGCAGTATAATGCATATAACAGTATTTCACAGATTAAATGACACGCAGGAAACAGGCAAGCGCAGAGAAGTTCCCTGGAAAGAAAACTGCTTGGAAGAAGGCAGAGAACCCACACTCTCCAGGGGAAGGCAAAGCCTCCAAGAGTCACTCCCCAATCAGACCAGGGAGACAATTCCTTCCATGACTTCAGTTTGGCAGGACAGAATTCAGACCAGATTATATACCTGCAGGCACACACCGGCGTTGTTTTAAAGTGTACACATTTAAAATGAAAGAATATGGCAAACACATATTTGCAAACATATTTGGCAGAGGGATGCTTCTCGTGGGGCTGTGACTGTCTGAAGCTACACGGAGTGCAATGTGTGAATTCACCCATTAAGAGAAATCTTGGCCATGAAAGCAAAATCCATCCAGCTGGCTTCTTGTAATGGGAAATGTGCTTAGGTGTTTGTTTTTAAAAAGATCTCTTGGTGAGGATTAGGTTTCAAAATGCTCTACCATTTTCCTTCTTTGCTTTATTCTTCTATGGCTACTTTATACCTGGCTGATAAAATAAAAATAACAATAATATCATAAAAACAGCATAAAATAATTAAAACTAACAAATCATTAAAATCCAGCCACACACAGCAGCCTGTTCACACAGTGAACTAGGGTTTAAATAATGGGTTTAAATTAAAGGTGGGAAGGTACCGGCTGGATATTAGGAAAAACGTTTTTACTGTAAGAGCTGCAACAGTGGAATCAGCCGCCTAGGGAGGTGGTGAGCTCCCCCTCCCTGGCAGTCATCAAGCAGCAGTTGGACAAACACTTGTCAAGGATATCGTAGGCTGATCCTGCACTGAGCAAGGGGTTGGACGGGATGGCCTGTATGGTCCCTTCCAACGCTGTGATTCTATGATTCTAGGGTAGAAGGATGGATTCCTCCCCTCCTTAGAGTGTACTTCTATGAGGTAATCATCAGACTTTTAAGTCCCTGTCTTTTCTTGCAGAATAATTAACTCAACAGAGTTGCCTTGGAGTCATCACTTTACTCTGGAAATGGATTCCAGTAACCAAGTGTTTTTTTAAGTCCAGCTCAATGGAAACCACACGCAGTGTTATACCTATTGTAAAATATATATTGGCTTGCCATGTGGATCCCCAATCTGAAATGAGGGCTGCCTTGCAAGAGTGTGTTTCTGAAGCAGCACTTTGGGGTGCATTTTGGGCTACAGCAGGACGGGGGAAGTACGAAAGTCATGCTCTTTGGACAGAAGTCCTTCTGCCCCTGGAAGCACCCTGGTGAGTCCAAGGCTATAAGCTGGATGAGTACAGTCTCAGCATTGATGCAGTCAGAGAATTAGGCTCTGTGCTGTGGAAAAGGACTGGAGTTACCGTTCAGGGGGACTTGCTGTGATGCTGCTACTCATCACCAGCTACTTAGAAAGAGGCTTCCCCACATCCAGACGACAGAGACTAATGGCAGAAATACAGAAACAAGCGTGTTCCAAATGATAGTTTGTGTTACCTGGTTGCTATGAGAGGGAAGCTGTGCACGGGCTTGTTCAAGGCATCCCTACTTTGTGGGAAGCTGCTGTAGAAGAGAAGCTCCTTCTCTGTTAGGACGGCAAGGACGCTCTTTGTCCCATCCCCAGGGAGCTGCAAAAATCAAAAGTTCAACAGTCACAGATACTCAGAACAGACGGTGATGTCCAGGTGATGTCCACGTTGACACGCCTGGCCAAAAAGCCCCTGTTGGCAGATGTTGAGCTTGGCAGTCACCTGGCAGGACATGCACTTGATAGGAGGCTTCCCGTTATGCCCTGGATCACCCGGGAGTCATTTGGGCTGGAACGAATGGCACCTGAACTGATGGGTTTATTATTTTAAAGATTTTATGAACTGCCCTGCCTTCCAAAAGAGAGCCCAAAGTGGCTTCTACATTGGACAGTAAACATGATTACAAAGCAGTGTACTGTCAACAAAAGAATTTGACATAAAACCAGAACACTGTACACAGGTCGGTAAAATAGAATCAAAGTACACTCCAGAATAAAATGAAACTTAAAATGCCAGCTTCTTATCAAAGGCTTTCCTTGGTGCCTTCTATATGACAGAAATACATGGTCTTGCCGGGGGGGGGGGGGGGGGGGGGGATTCCTGAATTGTGGTGCCAGTACACAGAAGGCCCTGTTGTGTACTCTAGTAGATTTTACTCCACAGGCAGATGGAAGCCAGAGCACAGCTCTAGCACGGATCAAAATGGCAGAGGAGGAAGCCCCCGCTAACTTACAGAGCAGTCATTTATATTCTTCCAGTGAATCACTCTCAAAAGGAGACGGACATCTGCAGACACACCTGTACTGAAGGCCTACACTTCGACCAGATCCATACATTACCACAGTGTGCACTGCTTCCCCATAACATCTTCCTGTCCCACTTCATCTACATCTAATGATGTATTCCCTGTCCCCACAAAATGTGTTGCTCTAACAGCTGTTTAAAGTGTCATAAAAGTCCTTTTTTTGTTTTTGGATCCCTACAGCAACTTATTCAATTTGATGAAATGAGACGGGGAACTGCTATAGCCCTTCATACTCTGAAGAGTGACAGAAACAATAATTGCATTTGAGGAACATTCTTGAGATGAAGCAGGTCTCTGTGAATGCAGTGCTTTGACTAACGTCTGTAAATGAGGCCAAACGGTCTGGAGCAAAGAGTGGGCGTTTTGTTCAGCACTGGGAGACACAGCAGAAATAAAGCGCGACAGAAGGCCACCAGTGATTTTTGCATATAATTTTCACAAATAAGACAGATGTCTAGCTACAGTTGGTGGACACACTGAGGTTCTTTTAGGAATACTCGTCTTCAGAGAATATTATCTTCAGATATGAAAGAGGGAGTGTGGGGCTTTTTAGAAGTCAGAATAGCTAGAAAAGTGCTACTAATTAAGAATATAATATGGAAATTAATAAAGAAACATGAAATACTGAAATAAAAGAAAGGCTCTGTTCACTTGTCTTCCTTTTCCTGATTCTTTCTTTTTAAAAACATGGTTAATTGAGCAAGAAAGGTGGCTCATTTTTCCCCACAAGTGCTAGATATTCACAACAGCAGCTGCAGGAATACGTTAGACTAAGCATTAGAAAGTTCCACATT